AAAGGGTTAGGTTGAAAACCCGAAAGGGTGGCCTAACAAATTAAATGTTTCCTTGACTTAGAAAGTTGGAAATCTAATGATGAAAGGCCTTGTTTCTTTATGTTAAATAGTTGAATGTTGCCATTTTGCTTATCCTTTTTTGAGCCAAAAAAAGGTAATCATTCAAGTTCACTAAAGCCAAAATGATTTTCTTTCTATTAACCACATTAATGACTGGGGAAGTGAAGAGAGAAATCTGAGGGGAATTTATGGATTTTGAGCCCTTTATCCTTTCTTTCATCATAGCCTAACCCCAAGCCACATTACAAGCCTATATGAAAGTCCTTATTTGAGGATTTAAAGCTTTCTCTGTCAAGGGACATGTAAAAAAAAAAAAAAGAAAAAAGAAAAAGAAAAAAAAAAGAAAAAAAGAAAAAAAGAGTGAACAGCAAGCCTCCAAGTGTTAGCAGTTGAAACTTCCTTCTTCTAAGCACGAGAGTTAGTTCATGAAAGGGGAAAGATTTGAATTGTCAATATTCAGAAAAGGAATGAGACTCTTTCTCATGGACTAAAGGATTGATAGGCAGAGTCGCAAAGAAGAGATGATCTGAAGCAATGATTTATGGTTTGAATATCTTGTAACCAGTTGCATTGAAATCTTGTATCATTAGCCAGACTTCCTTTTGTCCTTATTCGAAGTGGACCTTTTGATCATCTTGACCTTGATTGAATCTAATAAAATGAATCTTTACTATCGTTTTGTTCGCATTTTACTCCAATCTTACCTTTTTATTTAGTATTGGGAATGCTAGTTAAACATGAGACTCTATTTCAGTTAATATAATTGCTTATCTAATCAAAATCTCTTGATGAATTTGAAAGGTGGTATGAGAATTACAGGGAGAAAGGAAGTTGAATTGGATATCTAAGGAGTCATCCATGCTAGCTAAAACTTCAATAGCAAATGAAAGTTTAACTTATTGAGGCAATATTTTCAAATATCTCTTTATGGGAAACAAATGAGATTCTACCTCTTGTGTTCAATAGACTATACATGAATGTGAATCTACTAAGCTGCTATAAAGAGATGATCACAGGTTGATGAATGCACATCATGAAGCACATTTAACTCTCGCCAAATATGGACATCCAATATGTTCAGGGAAGTTTCTTTTCATTTTCATCTTATCTTATGTATGAAAATCATTTCATTTGCATTGGTTTCATTGTCACTAGACTTTTCAGCAAGGTTTTGAAAACCAGACCGGACTTCAAACCGATCAGACTGATACCTAATAATAAAAACGGGTCTAGTTAGTACTTCAAACCATTTAGGGGGTTAAACCGCTCAAAACCGTTCAAACCGTCTAAATCGATAAGAACCAATAAACAGTCCAACTGACTGGGCCAACCCTTTGGAGAAAAATTGGCAAGGTTTGTTGCTAGCAGTGGGTCTCGAACACGAGACCTCATGAGATTTCCACAACTCCTTTACCACAAGAGCAACAAACCCCTTTGTGAAATGAGTTGCAAACACTATCCTTTAAAGAATATTACAAGAGTAAAGGAAAAAATGATAATCACTTTCACGAGATTCGAACACTGACTCTCTTTTATGTTTTGAACAAACTTCTACCACTTTATCTGAATCGAGTTAATTGATTTATATTGTCTTGAGATATATTTATTATAATAGAAATACATAAATGAATAAATTTGGCATGTTTGAGATTCGAACCCTGGTTCTAAATGACACAAAGAAGCATTCCAACCATTAGAGCTACTTCTAGCTTTATGAAAAGAACTGCATTACAATATATTTAACATATATCTTCAAAATTCAAACAACTCAATTTTTTATCCGGTTAAACTAGTTCAATTGTTAAACTCGTGAACCGAAGGTCAAAATGGGTTAACCTCCGGTTCGATTTTCAAAACCTTGCTTTTCAGACATCATTTACCCTATTCGATCATTTGATAGTTACTCGTTCGGTCATCCGATCGTTGCCCCCTCAGTTATTCGACCGTTACCTACTTGATCATTCGATCATTACTCATTCGGTTATCCGATCGTTACTCGTTCGCTCATCCGATCGTTACCCCCTCAGTCATTCAACCGTTATCTAGTCGATCATTCGATCGCTACTTAGTTATTTAACCATTATTGCTCAAGCCTACTCGATAATTTGACCGTAGCTATCCATCTTGCTTGGTCGTTTGACCGTAGCTACCTAACTTATTCGATCATTTGATCGTTACTTGTTCAGTTATCCAATCATTACTCGTTCGATCATCCGATTGTTACCCCTTAGTCATTCGATTGTTATCTACTCGATCATTCGATCGCTACTAGGTTATTTAACTATTATTGCTCAAACTTGCTCGGTCATTTGACCGTAGCTATCCATCTTGCTCGGTCGTTTGACCATAGCTACCTAACCTATTCGATTATTTGATCGTTACTTGTTCAGTTATCCAATCATTACTCGTTTGCTTATCCGATCATTACTCGTTCGATCATTCGACCGTTACCTGCTCGATCATATGATCATTACTCCTTCGATCATTCGATCGTTACCTGCTCGATTAGTCGAACGTTACTCATTCGGTTATCCGACCGCTAGTCGTTCAATTATCCGATTGTTACCCCCTCGATCATCCGACCGTTACCGATTCGATCATTTGATCGTTATTCATTCAATTAATCCGATCATTGCGGTTCCTTAATCATTTGTACTTTGCTTGTTCGACCATTGCGGTTATAAAACCGTTTTTACTTTTCTTGTTCGGTCATTCGACCGTTGCGGTTTTTTAACCGTTTTTACTTTATTTGTTCAGTCATTCGACCGTTGCAGTTTCTTAATCGTTTTTACCTTACCTGTTTAGTCATTCGATGCATTTTACTTTACTTGTTTAGTTTATCAAAAAAAAAAAAACAAAGAAAAAAAAAAGAGAAGAGTTGAAAATTTAAGTTATTCTTGTCTTTTATTTTCATTCTTAACAGAAACAAAAGAAAGAGAGGCAGTTGTCATAACTCAAAATTTTAATAGAATTTTATTTGTATTCTAGTTTTATTTTTATATTTTAACTAATATGTTGGCCTTTGTTTTCTCTTGCTAGGTTTGTGGGTAAAAAGGGGATTTCGCGAAGAGGATGGAAAAGAAGATAATAGGAAGGACTTAGTTGAAGAAATCAAAAGTTGGAGGGGTGAACTTCATCAAGATTAATTCACAAACCCAACACCAACCCATTTCAATTGAGCCCACTAAATTATCAAAACCCAAACCCCACCAACTACCCAAAACCCATTACCCATTTAATCCAAAAAAAAAAAAAAAAAAAAAAAGAGAAAGAAAAGGGAGGGCCTCTCGAATCTTTCTTCAAAAGAGGACCCTCGATTTCCTTTCTGTAGAAACAACTCTGCGCCCTGCACCCTGTGCCCCCTGCCCTGCACCCTCTGCTGCGCTAACCCTGCTGCTGCGCCTTTGTCCCTGCGCTTGCACCAAGCCCGCGCCCGGATCCCTTTTGCTCTGCGCCGTTGACCTTGCTGCATCGAGCATGCGACCCTGCTTGCTGCAAACCTCTGCACCTCATTGCAGCCCAATCCCGTGCCTACTCTGCCCAGAGGCCTGCACAAGAAACAAAAAAAAAAAGGGCTTTCAGTCCTTTGCTTTTCAACTTGCAAAAATCAACAACTATACTTGGAGGATCAACGAAAAAAGAAAAAGAAGGAAGATCAAAGGGCTCCGGAGTTTGAAAGTTTATTTATTTATTATTATTAATTTTTTTTTGTGAGTGCTTCTTTGTCTCTAGGGTATATATATATATAGAGCAAAAGATCAGAGAAGAGAAGGGCGGTAGAGAGAGAGGGAAGTTCGAAAAAAAATGGAGATCTGGTTTTGAGAGGGAAAAGAGAAACTGAAAAATTGAAAGGAATAAATCTGTTTTTTTTTTTTTTTCTTCTTTGGTTGATTCTGTGGGGTTCTATTGGTCTGAGTTTGGGGTGTTGTTGGAAACAGCAGTAAGAAGAGGAGGATCGCTGAGCTTCCAGAATTCACCGAGCAAGATTGTGCATTTTTTTGGGTTTTCATCTTAAGTATTTTCCTGCAACAAAGGAGTCCTTTTGGGAGGCAATGAAGGGGATGATCTGGACTTGATCTCGTGGGAGGGATCCGCCAGATCGGACTCTGATCTCTTACCCAGAAAGCTCCATCATGTTTGTTTCTTTTGTCCTCCTGTTTCTCTACTTTCATGATGTTAAGTTGTATATGTTTATCTGAAAATGAAATGAGAATCTAAGTTTAACTAAGTTATTGTGTTTTGATGAATTTGCTCTTTCTTTGTTGTTGGCGAATGTATTTTTTTTATGATGAACGTGTTCTTTCTTTTAAGAGTGATGAACCTTAATTGGAAGTTTCTTTTATCCATGTTTGATCTGTTTTGGTTTATTTTGAGCAGTGGGTCGTGTTTCTGGGTTGGATCAACCCGACCCAATCCAATAAAAAAAAAACTAAAAAGGTTAAAAAATAAAAAATATATATAATTATAATTAATTAAATGAGTTAGTTTAATTTATGATTAATAAAGTTAATTAATCTTAATTAAAATAAATTAATCACATTTATTGAGTTTGATTTGAGAGAATTAGATTTATTTAGTTATCTCAATGATTAGTAAATGTGATTAATTAATTTTAATTAATTTTGATTAATGTTAAGTTAATTATTCAATTAGATTAATTATCTTGATTAACTAATTTTAATTCTCAATTAACTTTAATTTTGGTCAAAGTCAAAGTTATCTTTTATTTTATCTCAATTTCCCTCAAAAGTTTTTATGATTAAGCAATTTAATCCCAAGGTTTCAAATCTTTTTAAATCAATCCTTCATGTTTCAAATTTAATCAAATCAGTCCATTTAATTTTTATTTGTGTTTATTGTGCATGCATGTTCTTGATTTTGTCTATTTCAATCCAAAATTTAAAAAAATGTTTCAATTTGGTTTATCCTTTTTTCTTTTTTTTTTTTAAGTTTGCCTATTAAGAGTCAAACATAAATATAATAAATAAGTTGAATTAAAACCCCAATTTTAAAGTGTGCAATCGTGTTTAAACGGAGGATTATGAGATGCGCATATGTGCTTCCTCACTCCTAACCGAACCCCGATCTCTACGCAGACCTATTTTAAATGATTTGTCCCACCTTATAACTTGGACGAGTGGCAGTTCCTTTTTCTTATATTTTTCACACTTAATAATTTTAAGTGTGGTCGTCAATAGCCTGATTCACCAAGAATTATTATATAATTAAGTTATGATTAAAATACTAATTTGGTACCTCAACTTCTAAGTTTATATCAAATATACCCTCAAAATTTTAAAAAGTTTTAAAATGGTCCTTGAAAGGACCATTTTGAATTCTTTTTTAAGTTCAATGGTAGCTTTGATATAAAATTGAAAGTTGAAGTACCAAATTGGTATTCTAACCTCTATGCAACAAAATATCATATAGGGAGTTATATTTATTTTCATATACTATACATTAATTATATTTACATTTCAAATGGATACATCTATCGAAATTGCACCGGTCTTTCTACACGAGCCTCAAATGGAAGGTGGATTATAAGATGCTCCATATTGTCAAAGAATGAAGGTGGAAAGATTCGCTCTAACTTACAAATGATTTTTACTATCCTTTCCAGCCATATTGCCATGTCATTGACTTGAATCACTGGAGCACACAAGGCCCTAAAGAACTCACTAATCTCAACAAGTGGCTCCCAAACTTGTTTCAGTAATAAATCACGAAATGCAATTGATATAAAGCTTTGCATGAAAATGTGATAGTCGTGACTTTCCATACCGAATAATCGTGCCTCTTGTGTATCGACACACCAAGATATATTGGAGGCAAATCCATTAGGGAATTTAAGTTCCTTCAACCATTGACATATTGATTTTCTTTGATCCCTACTAAGAACATAAGTGGCCTTTGGCTTTTTACCCGAATTCACTCTTGTTTTCGATATGTGTAGACTTTTCCTTTTATAATACAATTCCAGATCAAGTCTTGCATTTATGTTATCTTTTGTCATAGGGTCATCCATTACTGTATGAAGGATATTGTCAAAAAAAGTTTTTCTCACAGTGCATGACATCTAAATGGTGTCAAATCAAGTTTGTGTGCCAATATGGTAATTCCCAAAAGATGTTCTTTTTAACCCAATTGTGCACTTCACCAAATTTGTGGATTTCCTATTTCTGAGGTGGCTTACCAAATAGTACATCAGGCAGCCAATGGATGCAATTATGCATCTCATCACCAGACAATCTCTCTAGCATTGTTCCATTCTCTGTACGACCCTTTATGAAGTCATTCTTGTTTCTTCTAAATGGATGATCTGGTAGCAAAAACTTTCGGTGACAATCAAAAAATGATGTCTTTCGACCGTGTTCCAACCAAAAGGCCTTCAAATTTTCCATGCAATAAGGACAAGCTAATTTACTATATGTACTCCACCTAGGTAAGTCACTAATGGTCCACATAAGTACAGCCCTCATCAGAAAGTATTGACGTCTAAAGCTGTCATAAGTTTGGACTCTAGAATACCAAAGCTACTTTAAATCATCGATTAGTGGTCGAACCATTACATCAATATTCTTTCTAGGACTTTAGGGACCTTGGATAATCAATGAAAGGAATACATATTCTTGCTTCATGCACATTGTTGGAGGCAAGTTATAAATTGACACAAATACTGACCAACAAGAGTATGGAGATGCGGAATGTCCACAAGGAGTGAACTCATCAATGCACAGACCTCACTTAACATTCCTCAACTCACTAGGAAACTCAAGGTGAGTGCTATCAAAATGCTTCCACGCCTTTCCACATGCAGGATGAAAAAATTTCTCATTTTTATTATAACAATTTAAATGCCAAGTCATATGCTCAGTAGTTTTCCTAGACATATACAATCTCTGAAGTCTAGGAATAATTGGAAGATACCACAAAGACTTACTTGGTATAGGCTTAGCAGAATGCACATCACGCTGCTTAAATCGTGGCTCTTCACATACTGAGCACTGTAAATAACACTGACTTTCATATTCTCCATAATACAAAATGCAATTGTTCACACAAACATCATACTTTTTATACCTGAGACCCAGACAACTCAACATCTTCTTGGCACTATAATAATCTGTTGGCAATTTCTCCCTCTCAACTTTTTTGAAGGCCATTAGACTAAGCTTTAGCACATAGTCCCAATTAGTAACACTCATGTTAAAAAGTGTTTTTGCACTCATGAGCTCACACACCCACTTTAAGATAGTGACACCATCATCAACCCTTTAAAAAGAGGTGTATCAACTGCTCGCAAAAGATCAAAGAACTCTTTTGCATCTCCTCTTGGCTCCTCAAATATCGATTCTGTACTGACACCATATGGATTATCAAAACTATCATCAAATTGTGTTGCATCTTCTACCCTTGTGGCATTATTTTCATTATTAAAAAAATTTGGTCCCATGGCAGCATGAAGCATGTCTCTGAGTTGATCGACACTTGGAACATTAATCATAGCAGTAGTAGTAGCAGCACTTGATGATTCACCCACTTGGGTGCAATGCCGTTTTCTATGAATAATTTCCCCATGTCTTTTCCAAATAAGATACCCATCCATGAAGTCGTTCTTAATGATGAGATTGCACTTTGCGTCGATGATGCCATTCTCTATTCCAACACTTACTACACGGACACCGAATCATATTCTTTGCACAAAACATCAAGTCCGTTTGTGAGAATGCAAAATCCAAGAAAATCTCTACCCCAGCATTAAATTCATAGTTCCAATACCCCATTTCATCTCGATGACGATACATCCAACTCCGATCTTCTCCCAAAATTAAGTAGTACATGCCTTAAAAATTCAATAATATCTTAATATTATATAACAAGCACTAGAATCATAAATATCAATTTTGGTCCATCAACTTTATGATTTTACACCATTTTCGTCCCTCAACTATTTTTTTGCTCATATTGGTCCTTCAACTATGAATAACGTACATTTTTAATTCTTCTGTCAATTAAGTTTCTTTAGAAGATTGATAAAAGGACTAAAAATGAAAATTACTCATAATTGAGGGACCAAAATGAGCAAAAAAAAGTTAAGGGACAAAAATTATGTAAAATCTTAAAATTGAGGAATCAAAATTAGCATTTATCCTTTTAAAATTACATATGCTACAATGATATATATAATTACA